CCCCCAAAACCCCAAAACCCCAAAACCCCAAAGATGCATTTAGTGATGGATTTGGATCTTTAATTATTTGTTGGATAAATTTTATAAATGGAGCATCATATGCCAAATACCCCAAGAGTTGAAAAAACAAATTATTTTAATGAAAACATCAGCTAAACCGATATGCAGTAATTAAAAGTGTTACTTAGCACGGATGGAAGTTCTTTCTACAAGTAATATATCGACACAATAATAGAATTGGCCCAGAATTTAAAAGATAAACTTGGAGGTATCGACTTATCAGGGGCATCGAATAGCTTCAAAAGATAAAATAAAATAATACTTGACACGCTTGAAATCATTTATCGTTAAATTGGAAAATTACTATTAGTATCAAAAGAAGAAAAATTAGAACTTGATAAAGTAAAACTAAAAAAGAGTGATCTTAAGATAAATTAGGAAACTGATAATAAAATAAATAAGTTAGATTAAATCATACAGAAGCAATCTGAGTATAATTTAAATCTAGCATAGACATCAAATAATATTTTTAAGGATTATGAAAAAGTGATTGATGATGGTATCGGAATGAGCAAGGATAATCTTGAATAGCTGAACAAGATATAAGATGAAACATAAAGCCAGTTGACTGATTAACTGAATTTAACTCAGAAAAGTCTTTAAAAGTAGATTGCTAGAGATCAAAATCAATTAATAAGTGATAGTCTTTAGGATATAAGTTTTGATGACATCCATATCTAAATGAACTCTGAGAAATCTGAGCTGGATATAATAAATAATAGTATAGCCAATTTTTAAAGCAATGAAAATTTGGAATAGATCCAGCAATAGATGATTAAAAACTAGGTAAAGGTAGATAATTCTAAAAGTTCTCCTGGGTAACAGGGCAAGGAAAATGAAGTAACATCAAGAATTACAGTAGGAATATTTGGTTAATAAGTCAAAGGAGAATGGATTGATGAAACTATGCTTAAATTTTTTCCTCCAATCTTGAAGAAGGATAAGTAGCAGGAAGAAGTGATACCCGAGGATAATAAGTCAAAAATTTCAAATTTTAAAAATAATAGGATAATGCCATAATAGATATCTTTGAACAATGATAAGAATGAGATAACTCAAGTTTACCATCAATTAGTATTCAAGGATCAAGGAGGTTCTTAGTTCGTGACCTATAATTAACGAATTAATGGCAAGTATTAGTCGAAAAGACTTATGCTAGATATTAATCCTAAGCTTGTCATAGAAACCTCGGACTGCTTGATCTTTGGATCGGCATTTGAAATTCAAAAGTATGATCTCAAGAATCAACGAAAATCAAGAAATATTATCAAGTTAGGTGACTTACTAACTAAGATGATTTTGCTTGGTGAAGATTATCTTTTATGCTCTTAAACTAACTGCAAGATGGAGCTCATTAGCCTAAAGTAAGAGAACATTTCAAATAAGATTCAGCTGCCTGATGCTAATTCTGTTTTGGATTTATCATACATTTCCTCCGATGGAGATGATATCTACTTTGCACTTGGACTCAACTGTACAGGGTTGAATAAAGCTTATAGTTTGATAATCATGAGCCTTAAGAAATCTAATGAACAACTTGCTATATCCAATGTTCCAAATCAATCTTACTTCTTAGGGAAATCAATTAACGCTTTGGCTACTATTAACGAATCATTGCTTCTTCTTTGTATCTTTTAAGATCTTCATCTTAAGTTATTTGATAGAAAATCTGGCTAAACTCTTAGAGAAATTAAAAATTATGCAACTGATTATAACTTCTGCTGCATTAAGCAAGTACCTAATTTTGATCATGATAGACAATCACTCCTTGTCCTTAAGACTACGAACTAATTGGCAATGGTTGATGTGAAAGCAGGAACTATTGAGCAGTTGGCTGATGTCTAATCTTCTATACTGAAGCAAGACTAACTTTGCGTGATAAGAGATCAAGATGAGCTTGTTATTATATCAGATAACATGATATAAAATGAGATGACACTCATGGAACTAACATTTCCGAATGTTTATGCTTGAAATTAAGGCTAAAAATGAAGTTTAAATGATACCTCATTTTTGAATCTCAAGCTTTATTATTTTATTGATTGAAAACTTAAAACGATTAAAACTACTTATTTTCATTTCTGAAGGGGTTTTGGGGTTTTGGGGTTTTGGGG